TAAGAATCTTTGTATCTCTTTCAGTGCATCCGACCCAGAATCTGGGGGGTAACCTGACATCTATCTCCCACACTCCCCACATCTAATTAATCACCAAGTTCTTGTAATTTTTCATTCTATGAATCTTTGGTCTCTGCCTCCTACAATAGGCGTTGCCTGCTGTCTCCTTCCTGCCCTATTGTGCTGTCGTTTTCCTGACCTCCCTCCTTCTACCCTCTGCCTCTCCAACCCTCTCTCCATACAGGGTCTGAGTGATCCCATAGACACAGTCATTGTCTGGCAGTTCTGCTTAAAGGCCGTTGATAATTCTTTACTGCCCTAGGATAAATACAACCTGCTCAACCTGCTCAGAAAGGGCCCATCACTGGGGCCAGCAGATGGCATAATGGTTACCTCTCTGGACTCCCATATACGCAGCCGTGGTTTGAGTCCTGGACCCAATGGCTTAAATTCACGCCAGGTGCATGTGAGTGTGTCCCCAAGATCCCCAGAGGAGAATGGAGGAGAAGGGATTGTGGCATGACCATCCCCCCAGGGGTGATTTCTTGCTTTCTGTCTCTTTGTCTTTCTGACGAGCACACACACTCCATAGCAAAAGTCTCTTTTTAAAAAGAGAGAAAAGAATAGAAAAGGCCCATCGCTGCTTAGGTCCTCTCTACTTTTAACCTCACTCCTGGCCACTTGTACCCTCTTAGAGTCGTTCTGAATCACGCATCCTGTGTGCAGTCCTCAGCCATGCATCATTGCATAGGTTATTTCCTCTGTCTTGAGGATGCTTGACTTCCTGGTGAGCTCCGACTCCCCCGTGAAGATTGCTCAAACATCCCCTCCCCCGTACACTCTTCCTTGGTCTCACCCAGGCACAGTTAATTGCTCTGTTGTCAGTATTGTCATATTTTGGCTATGCCTGGACTAATACGTATCATGCACGTTTGTACCTATTTATTGACGAGATCCTTTCTCCGGCTGGCATGAGCTCCTCTGGGACAAGGAGCTTGCCTTTTTGAATCTTTTGAATTTCTGATACAAACTAAAATCTCCATAGATATAACTAAAAAGTGAGTGAGAAAACTGTGGTTCAGAGAGGTAAATTGGATTTCTCCAATCACATAGCTAATCAGTGGCAGTTTCTGGATAGAGCTGGCATCTTCTGACTCAGGACTTGTGTCCCAATTACCACTTATTGACCAGAGCCTGAAACCCAGATCTCTTATGTGGTGGAGGGGGGGCGAATCGGGTTTGTAAACTCTTTTAAACTGTAAGTATAACCAGTAGAGAAGAGCTTGCATACAGGTAACAAGCCATAACAAGGAAACCAGGTACCAGAACAAGGTCACA